ACAGCTCCTCTCCCACATCCAGCCACGAGGGAACTTTCTCCCCACCTCATCCTGGGACAACCCACGGCAGAAACACTCCTCCCTCTTGGGAATAACACACAGCCATCTTTACAATGACTCCAAACAGAATCACAAAAATTCTCCAGAACCCCACTGCTCCTGTCGTCTTCTCAATTATTCTGGATGCAACGGACACACATCCATCAGTTTCTTAATCTCCGGTGGTTAAGAATCCCTTCGTGTTAAGAGTTCACATCTTCTACCTTCTTACAGCATATTCCTGACATACATAACATCAGAAATTAGGAGGGGTTTGGTTTGGTGAAATTGGATCCTTACGATATTTTATTCTGACTCTTCTAAAGAAAGCTTAGAACAGCCTTCCAGCTTAGTCCCAGAATAAAGCAAAAGTTCTTGTTCTACAACCTTTATTTTGTGAGGAACTACAGTAATATTTTATCTTCATTTTAGAAACAGGCCGCACACTTTGACAAGATCACTGCTTACAGCCACTGTATTGTCATCTTAAATTATATTGCTTGCCATTAAATTGTTCATTATTAGAACATTCGTATCAGACAGCTTAGTACCCGAAATTGTCCGATACAAATTCAGGTTTTATGGGGGCCCCAAGTCTGAAATTTGTTTCTGAATGAGAATCAAAACAGCGATAGAACAATTCCTACAAGTTATACTACTGTAATTTAAATGCAGTACTAAAGTTAAGCACAATGGCCTCACGCACCCACATTCTGAGCGTGAACTGAAACGACTAGCTTTGTCCTTAGCTTAGCAGCCATGCAAATATGCTTTTCCATTCACATTGGGGAAAAAATGAGATTAATTAGTATCAACAGACGAATCTGAAAGGTAGTGTTAGTTAAGTCACTTTTCACAACTCACTCGTAGCCACTTTCAAGGTGCTTACAAGCACGGAGTATTTTTCTGTACTGGTCAAATACTTGTTGGTCTCTGCTTAGCATGTATGAACTACTTTGTTGCTAATATTATGGGTCATCACAAAGGCAGTAATATATCAAACTAGTTTACTTCTCGGCCATTTTCTACTGGAAAAGCATCATGATTTCATTCCGATTTATTATAAATGCAGGATCGGACATTATAGAAGGCAATCAGTGGCAATTTGGTGAGGCAATTTGGCTATATCTAGCCAAATAACAGCTTTACAGTAAGTTCAGAGTTTCTGAATAAAGCAAAAAGTATGTTTATTATGGAGAACAGCAGTACAAAATAACGGCACCGAACATTCTAGCGCACCGCCTGACCGTTACGTATGCAGCAATTTACCCACCAGTCAAGGTGTTCTTCAAGTTCTCCTACAAATAAAAGAATGGCAATACACCTGTAGCTAGGAGGATGACAGAGGTCCTGCCACTGAACTTGTTTATCGACAGTCTCCTGTATGGTTTTTGTGCTTTGATTCAAATATAGAAGTTTACCGACGTATTTAATATAAACTGACATAGTGGGCTAAATTTTGCTTTAAATGTGGTACCAGTCAGCTGCCCAGCAGCACTCCCGATCCGACGACACAAGTGAAAATGCAGTAAGGCAGCCAGGCCAAAAGCAGTTCGTTCAGAAGAGGCTCCTTTGCATTTCAGATTGTTTTGCCTTTTCTCATTTGATGACACCTTACCTTTATAGAATACAGAACGGCCACTTGTTTCTCAATTGTACAGTCTCTTTAGGATTATATACATTTTGTATAATTTCAGTAGAAATTTAATCAACATTGTGGCTGTGCGGCTTGGTATCATGATGTGTACCTTGGGATTGTAGAACTGCTTTGATTTTTAAACCATATTCTCCCTTGAACATATAAGTGATCTTATTTTCCCCTTCTAAAACTACATTGAAGAAAAAACAATCACCGAACTGAGCATACAAAAAAAACCCCAAAAAACTCTTCCTATTCCACTAGAAATCTCTTACATATGTATGTCATTTATTCTAATAAAAGATCTTTATTTTCTTGCTATTCCTTCTTCCTTTCTCTACCTTTTATTTTTTTCTTTTTGCAGTTACGAACAGACCAAATAACTCTCAAACTTTCAAGAGCTGAGCGAAATGTAGCAAGACTACTTAATTTTCACTGCTGTTTAGCATAAGGATTAATTTTCCATTAGCATTCCCCTTAAATGCTTCCATCTCAGCTGCACAGTTCCCCAACCAGGAAAAGCTGCCTTTGCCATGTGAAGAGACAAAAACCCAAGCATCACCTTGTGCTGCCCTATGCAGTTAGCCCAAGGTCAGTCAAGGACAAGGACGCAGCAGAAAGTTAACAACCGAGAGAAATGATACAAAGCTGAGGGAAGGTGGACCTTTAACTGCTCGAGAGTGACTTTTTTTTGATCATTCATCAAGTCTCATTTCTGAGGTACCTGCCTTCTTTAAATGTAAAAAGAGTCCACCCTTCCCCATGTTTTTTGTTTGTCTTTATGAAGCGTACCTTGAACCACCCATCTGTTACATCCCACAAAGGACAAATATCACTTTCAGTTTTCCAAACCTTGCATTCAAGTGTGAAGCAGCCAGTTATTAAATACTGACGATGCAAGCTTCTTCATGGCTGAGATGCAGCACCTGGCACTTTCAAGTGCCACTTCAAACCCAAAATACTTACGTATTTCCCGAAGGTGCTCTGCAGATCGCCACCTGCCCACAAAGACTCTAGCTACGTGTGTCTGAATGTGTGACCATTCTAATTTTAAAAAAATGTGTTCTAGAACTTGGTACAGTGCTTTGAAAATTTCTCTGAAAACTTGACACACAGGAAAAAGATAGGAAAGCATCACGTTTACAAAGCACTTTTGAAAAAACAGAAACATTAAGTGAATCAGCAGGATAGTGTGTGTCATTAAACTTCACCCAAGCAGACTGTTAAGTGCTTCTAACAGAACTCTGGCACTGAGCTAAAGCTCCTCATCTGGTTAAGCCAACAGAAGAATTTTGTGCCAGAATTACCAGGTTAGGCTGTGGCACAATTAGTTTAAGGACCTAACTTCTGCCCACCTTTTAGGCATTTAGTAAAAAGAGCTCTCCTAAAATAAGCCTGTCCAGAGACGTGTCCGTGTCCTGTGATGCACGTGCCTAAATTAAAAGGGTCATTTCAAGAACTCTTAACTGTCTAGATAGGATTAGGCAACTAATCTCTTGGTTATCCACACAAAATGATGAGAGTATACAACCCGCCTCCGCACAGGAACGATAAACCCATAAATTGACAAATGCCTAGAAATAGCACTTTGAGGATTCTGTGAAAAAGTTCAGACGGTTAAACCTCCCATGACTGCAGCATCTGAGTGAACAGACTTTCAACGGGGTCCATCAGAAAGCAAATCAGAAGGACCGTGTAGGACTACCAAGTACACATCACTGAGTAACAATATGGACTTTCCTTCTCATTAGGTTACACGTTTTGTTACAGCCCTCTGCCTTCCATCACCAAAAGCAGAGAATTAGTTTAAATTTTCTTCCAAAACTAAGTTCATGACGTAGAGAACGGGCTCCTCTTATTTGGCAGTAGGAAGCCTATCACAAGAACACAAGCGACACTTATCTCAATGCAGGTCTTAACTACTATTCTAGTTAGCATATAGGGCTTTGGTAATCAGTGTTCAATTTTTAAGTATAGAGAGGCTTGGCTTCTGTTCTGTTTTAATTAAAAAAGGCAACTGGAGATTTCTACCCAAAGAATAAATAGAACGCTAGGTCAGGCAACAGTCATTTTTTTTTATTGACTTAAACAAGCGAAAGGTATCCTCAGACATAATGCCCACCACTTCAGCAATACAAATCAATGCTGCTGAAGAAGAGGGAACATCTTTTCTCTCAGCCCTCCCATCCCAGAAGTAACAATAGAAATACCAGAGCCCCTAGAGAGAAGAGGAGGAGAAAAATTATAAAAGGCGCTTAGAATGAGCTGCGGAGTTGAAACATGGACACTAAAAAAATCATTAGCTAATCCACCATATCACCACAATCACCTCAAAAATAACTTTTGTTATTCCATTTCTCACAGGTACCAACTACATAGTGCTGTTTAACAGCGATTTCAATGTATTAACAACTGTCCTCAGCTGAAGCAGAACAGCAATTGCTATTTATATTAAATTTGAGGCTGCAGCTAGAAAGAACGGTTTCCACGGAGTACGATGCACGTTAATGAAGAGAGTCGGGGAGAAACAAAGCTACTTCTAAGTTACTGTATGTCTCTATCAATCAAGCAATTCATTCTGTATTGATAGCTTGCTACAGACGCAATATCCTGATAGAGTATGGCAACGCTACTCACCCTGTGACAGTGTATCTCTGTGAAGAATGTATCTGTAAGTCCCTTAAGGTGTGGGCCACCCAAAATCCCAGCCTGCTACTCCTGTTTCGGTATTTTTCAGTCAGACACCAGCAAAAAAAGCAAACAGACTGCATGCAAAACAATTGTTGCTAAATCATTTAGTCTTTCTTGTAACAGTTGAAAGTATGAGTAAGGCATTCCTCAGATTTAGAGAAAACATTAGGAGGCTGTAGTTTTGCAGGCAAAGAGACCTTTTATTTTAATCCATTAAAAGAACCCAAAATAGTCAGCAGGTGGCCACATCTATCCATGTTTCATTAAAATCACATAAACCCTAAGTACAAAAGCACCACTGATTATTGCTCTAGAAAAAACTGCATGAAAAATTCAAATACGCACAGTAAAAACATCACCATATGCACAAGACTTGATTTCTTAAAGCAAGTGTATGGAATGCTGATCCAATTTTACACATACCTTGCAATATTAAGTTGATATTTATATTACTTGGCAACAATGAGAATTTCTAAAAGCACTGTTATGAGAAGGGAAATGTTCATATACAGTTTAATATGTCAACTATCATAGTCCTAAAAAAATTAGCATTTACAAAATACTTGATAAAAATATCTTTTAAAAGTTGTCCAAGAGGTACATAAAATCAACCCAAAATTTTCATGATATTTCATTCATTCTTGTCACCTACAGATTCAGTTTTCTGAGCCTGTGGAGAAGACAGAAGAAATTAATTACTATGGTAAATTGCCACCCCATACCCAGATACCCAAACTACCCTTACTCCTTCGATTTCTTATTTGCAACAGCTCCCTTTCAAACCTGTGTCCGTATTACATTTACGCCAACAAAACAGGTACATTCACACCCTTTTCTTAAATTATCGGTCCCAGCTTTTCAAAAGCAACACGAGCCTTACCTGGCAGCTTCCATTGGTCATACTGAAAAGCACCACACTACTACCTGTTTCTAGTCACTGCACACATCCTGAATGCTCTACCGTACCCTTAACTTTCACTGTTTCAATCTGCCCTTTTACTGACAGTGTGCTGGGTGGGGCACCTCTGGATGTTGAAACACTAACAGTTGAGCGAGAGATGCGAATCTGCAATAACATTATGGGCAATAAAAAGAAACATTATGAACATGCTATCGAAGTCTGAAAGGCTGAATAATTATAAAAAGACTGATGCAATCAGCAGGAGGTATGTGTGGAAAGTACCTCTTCAGCTTTATTTTCACCATTTTCAGATGGTGTAGTACCTTCCTTTGCAGCTTCTGGCTTTTCATCCTTCTTCCCTTTAGCACCTTTGTTGGCCTTTGTTCCAGGTTCCTTCTGACAGAAGATCAAAAACATGGGCACAGACATTGTATGAGTAGCCAGCACCCTACATCTTTATCAAAAAACCTTCACGTGAACTAAAAAGCCAGTCTTGGCAAGCTGCATGTGCTGGACTGAAACACACCACCAGCTAAAGACTACCTGGAAAACGGATATCCACAAAAGTTACAGAGAGACTCTCTAAATTTCTAGAAAATGCTGATGTCTGCTTCTTTATTGTTTCTGCTAGTTTACAGGGACACAAAAACCCCGCGGACTATTTTGGTAGAGCTGAGCTGTATTATACAAAGGTATATACACAAGGTATCTGTGTGAACAAATCCAATTACAGTATATTGAAAGCTTATTCAGCCAAGCACAAACAACATGCTGTTGGTGTAACGGCACTACACTTTCGATTAACATGAAATATTAAATTAGATTTAAAAAATTAAGCATTTTCGTTGGCTGTCCGGTTGTTAGTTTGGTAACATTTGTGATGTTCATTCCATGTCAATGAAAGAACCAACCAACACACTAGGGAGGCAAACTGATAAAATCCCATCTGCAGCAACATAAAAGCAGAGAATTTTCAAAAGGAACTATTCAAACAGCTACAGTTGCATTTGGAGATTTGCTCTTGAACAATTCATATGTTGAAGTCTACTTTTTTTTTAATCCTTGCTCTATGTGCATATTTATATTTGTCATCTAAGGCTAGTAGAGACATAGGTTAAGGATTTTAAGTGCAATGGGATCAAAATTTAAATGGTACTTGAGTATTTTACATTAGCATTTAAAGCAGTTCTGATAAACACCGTGGAGATCTTTCACGTGATCATTTGCTCCAAATTCTCCACACAAAATGGCAATAGCAGCTGTGAACAGGGATATTAAGGTCGGTCTCCCTTCACGGACCACCCTTCCCCAGCGATCCCCACGCAGGAGCGGGGCAGTGAGGAGGCAGTGCCAGTCACACCCCAGTTGCAGGGCAGCCTGAATTACTCCTTACAGCCTTCAGCTTCAGCGTTACACAGCAGCTGTGGTGCTGACCCGAGATGCTTATTGGTGGCATGAGGATCGTCCTAACTCCTCACCTACCAGAGAACAAGCTAAGGACTTGACTTAGTACATCCGTAATTTGCAAGCTTTTAACACCAAAAATGACCTCAAATCCGTACCATCTTTGGTTGTTTACTAGCAGGTTCAGAGTACACGCTTGCTGTTTTCTGTTTAGGAGACCAAGATTAGTATACTCCTTAAAATGTGATCCAGTTAGAGTTTGGAAAAAAGCCGATTACTGTATTAAAAAGTTACTTAGAATAATGTCATAAAGGATTCGAGTTGCCTGAAATGAGTTTCAAATGCTTCTCATGCAGCTTAGACTGACGTAACACCAAGCTCATTTCACAACGTGTACCTGAAGCTACAGAAGCTACCATATTCCCTTCTTTATTATTACTCTTTTTAAGAGAGGAGCAGGATTGGACTCAGCAAGACGTTATTGGTAATTTCATTTGATAAATCATAAAGTGTTCAAAGTCATACAGTTTTACTTTCACACACGGGCCTTGTATCCTGATACCTGCCCAACTGAGATACCAATAAAAGGACTTGAAAAATGTAAGAGTGAAGAGTGCTAGACTCAGTTTCCAGCATGTTTTTTTTTTTTTCCCCCCTCATAAAGCAATTGCTCTTATTTAACATTCCCCTCGGGCACAAATAAATCTACAGTTTCTGAAGTGCATGATTTATATGCAGAAATCCTGAAAAGGTATTTCAAACACTAATAAGATTTTAATTTGACTGTAACTGGCCTAGAAAACCCAAACCATTCAATTTAAATATATTTAATTTCACCTTTAATTATAATTGTGCATTCTCAGCAAGGGCCAGGCTTCAAGAACAGATAAGAGTTTCTCACTATGAAATGAAGTACTGCCCCTCTAGACAAGGAAACAGGATGGCACAGAGTAATCTCAAATCCTGTTGTAGAAATTGCTAGGTCTCGGGTAAAGCTTACTCAACCAAACCTGTACATTTCAGGAAAGGTGTAGGAAAGGTAAAGATTCTTCTTAAACTAGGAATTCACTACCAACTAACATGGTCTGCATATCAAACAGGCAAGACATTTTGTTTGGGCCAGTAATGAGGCCAGGAAGGGGTGGAACAAAAAGAAAAGAATGATCTAATTTGTTTTTTTTCCAGGGGAGGAAGCAGGGAGCTGCGGGGAGGGCAGGGGAGCCGATGCCTCACAAGAACGCTGTGAATTGAACTGTATGCAATGCACAGAAGGAGTATACTTGCTTACTATCGGCTACAACGATGGCAACTAAAAAGAAGAGTATTTACCTTCGTGGTTTTCCTTGGTTTGGGCTCAGGTTTTGGCAGAGCAGGTTTCTAGAAAACATTTTTAGTTGCACAATGTGTTAGATATATGACCAGAAACCAGCCAGCCACCTCCACACCCCAGCTTCCCCCGACCCCGCACCTTCCGTCACTTCCTGCTCACTAGTATGCATCTAGAAAAAGGCTGAAAAACCTTAATGCACAACTGCACCTCCTAACTGTACACACCCATTTTCATTCGCTCACTCATCTAGCAGTCACAGCAATTCGGGAGTCGCTCCAAGAGTAAAACATGGAGATTAATAGCAACTATTTAAAAAAAAAAAAAGTCAGATATGTTCTAATAGAGAAGAGGAACTAAACCCAAATACTAGTAGTGGCATCAAATTAAGTCCTTAAAGGACAGCTCTTTCTCTCTCCCAGAGAAGTAGTTGCATTTCCACAACTAACATCAGCCTGCAAGACGATACGAAGTCAATACTGCGCATAACAGTGTTGCACTGAGGTGGGGAAATACATCTTTTGTCAGAACAACCTGAAACCTGAAACCAAGAAAACACAGATAACTTTAGCTCTAGAGTTCTTAAACATCCCTTAGCAAAAATAAAAATTGAATCAAGCAAAATACAACAAACCTGTTTGGTCTGAGAAACCATATGTGCCTAGAAAAATACATACCAAGAGGTGTTATACATACTTACAGCTGACAATCTTGCTGATCGTCTTGTGGGCTACAGAAAAAGAGAAAAATGGAGAAAGTATTTTTATAGGCTTACAGCAAACAGTATCCAAAGCAACATAATATCAGTCATTTCATGGCGACAGCATAAACTATGCCCCTACCAAAATACGTCTCTATTGCTGAACACAATTCTTATCTTCCTCACCTTGGATGATCAAAATTTTAAAGGGCCAAAGTGATGTGAAAATTAGTAATAAAAATTGTTCAGGAACTATAATGTCTAAATCTCTATATGGTTAAATACCTTCCCCCCCCCCTATTTTACAAGTACTTCCGAGTCCCTTGCTGCTCTATGAAAGGTTCACAAAGACAGCAAGCTTGACTACCTGTGCACAGGACACTGAACTTTTCTCGTAAATACTTCGAATGATGTTTCTATAATCTGGCAGATGCTACTTGTAATAGCCAGTAAAAATACCATCTGATTAACAGCAGAATAAACTTAACATCCTTCCCTAGAGGATATCAGAGTGCTAAAATTTCAAAACGTGAAACTAAGTCCTTCCACTTCCTCAGTTCCCCACACACTCAATCCGAGAGTTCAGGTGCACAAAGACAGCTGCAGGATGAGAGGGAGAAATTATTTCTTCTATTTAAACACAATTTCAAGAGGAAAGAAGAAAGTCAGATATCCTGCTTTCCTCCACCTTTCTTTATCACTTCAACACACCTTCCTTATTAAATTTTATTTCACTCTGTTCTTTGTCATAAATTTATTACTGAAGATGAGTTAAGTCTTAGAAGTTGTAAGCTCATTAATTTCTTCACAACATTTGTGTATTCATTAAAACAGATGAACCCATGATCCAGTTACACAGCATGGTTATCAGAGGTAAAGTTTGGTCTGTGTCATAAAACTGGAATCAGACTTGTAGCCAAAATAAACGGACAACTCAACTGCAACAAATATCCCATGTAACACAGCTTAAAAAGTGAATAAAAAATTTCTTAATTACGTGTTAGGCATTTAAGCTGAGCCGAGAAAAACATGGCTGCACACATCTTGCAACAGGAAAAAGCTGTTGTTAATATCTGAAGAATGCAGTAATTTGTATTCATTGGAGCCATTTAAGTATTCTTAGTGGAAAGCAGTAGAGAACAGTTCAGATCTGCATCCAGCAAAATAGAAGTCTTGTCAAAAAACACCTAAAGATATTTTCAGCTATCAAATATTTATGCATCATTAACAAATAAAAAGTAAACCTCTCTTTTCTTCGCAACTTAGAGTATCAATTGGTTGTTAAGCAGCTTAGCACTATTTTACAACAGGTTAAATAAAGCATTTCACATGGTCAGTTCATCAAAGAACTCCTAGCTCAAGGTATCTTCTTTTACAAATCTGTTTTCTTAACTGATGATGTCTATCCCTCAGCATTTGGGCACCAGAATGTTTTGTAAGGATCTACTTTTTAAAGAATAATATGTTGTTTTAGGTAAATTATAATTCTCTCCCATATTCCCCAACTGTTCCTGTTCCTTGACTGGTTTCATAGAAGGCTTGTATTGCCATAAAGTCAGCATAAACCCTCAGTTCGTTAAAAACGCCTGACAGCTATGTCATTTTAACTATCAGAGATATTTTTTTATTATTATTTTTTGCAATCTGATTATAAGAAGGGAACTGCAGTCAAGTCAGCAAAGGTCACATTTTAACATGCTTTTGGGACCTCTGTCCTCCTCCAAAGAGCTGTCCTAACCCAGAAACTAGCAGCTCGCCCAACAGCCTATTTGACACTGGCCCACTAGCAAACACTGACAGAAAGAGTCCAAGAAAGAGAGCAGACACAGAAGAACACTTTGCACTTTCCTACTGCACTGGCTTCTGGCAATCTAAAGTTGCGAACTTTCTAACCTGGGTATTATATCCACATCATCTGTTTAATAGTCTCTGAGGGTCATTTTCTCCATGACTTTGTCTTATAACCTAGTGAACCCATTTACACTTTCAGTTTCCATAACATCCTGTGGCAATGAGTTCCATAACAGGATTATGCACTGTGTGGAAAAGAAAAAGCAAAACCTTCCCCCTCTGTTGTCTTTCCTTTAAACTCCTTGCCTCTTACTTCCACTACATTTCTCTTGGTTTGGGGTTTCAAGAGTAATAATTTCCTAACTGCCTTTCTCTGTGTTACTAATGATTTTATATAAAAAAGACACGATAAAAAGTCAAGAATCCTAGAAAATCTGGGTTTGTGTTTGGTTGGGGTGGGTGTTTGGCTTTTTTGGGGGGTTTTTTTGTGTTTCCTTTTTTTTAAAGCTGCTCTGCATCCTCTGTTTGTCCCACCATACTTGGTATCCTTTTAATTCTGTCATAGCCTTTTTAAGGAAGAGTCAGGAGAACTTCATTTAGTAGTCCCACATCTGGGAGCACAACAAATTAATCTTGTGATACACTGATGTTTTACACTCTTGTCCTCTAGTATTTTTTCCTATATTCTAGTTTCCCCTTGGTTTGGAAGAACTGACATTTTCTAGTGTGATTTCACAATCTCTCCCCGGATTAACAGCTGACTTGGTGACCACCACTGTGTCTTCCCCTCTCCCCTTGTGTATTGATTTGCATTTCTCCACACTGAATGTCTATCGATATTTTATCTTTCCTATATTCTAGTTTCCCCTTGGTTTGGAAGAACTGACATTTTCTAGTGTGATTTCACAATCTCTCCCCGGATTAACAGCTGACTTGGTGACCACCACTGTGTCTTCCCCTCCCCTTGTGTATTAATTTGCATTTCTCCACATTGAATGTCTATCGATATTTTATCACCTAGTTATCAGTGACCTAAGAGCCTTCTCAGTCTCTCTCACTTCTGACCACCCTGACAATTTTTTTGTAAACTTCAAACTTGGTCACTTCTCTAGTACCTCTTCTCCTAGGTCATTAATGAATATATTCAGCAGCACAAGCCCAAACACAAATCCTTCCAATACTCCACTGATAAATCTCTTCCATTATGAAAATTAACTACTGCTTCTCCACTTTCTTCTCATACATTTATCTGTTACCAACTCTTTGGAAGATTTTCCATTTAATCCATGCTAGCTTAGTTTCTTTAAGAACCTGCTTGGGGAGCCTTATCAAAAAGCATTCTTTACAGGCAAGTAAACTGTATCAATTGGCATGCTATCATCCTTATACCTGTTGACTTCTACAAAGAACTAAACTGCCCGAAGTATAACTTCTCTGCAAAATCCATGTCGACTCTCCCATTATACATTTGTCCACATAAATTTAAAAAAAAAAAAAAAATCAAACCAAAAAACTACTTCTGCAAGTTAGACTCACAGGCTTTATTTTCCAGAATCCCTTATCTAAAATCCTGGCAGCATTTCATCACCTTCAGTTACTCTGGTACTGAGGCCAACGCAAGCAGTAAATTGCACACTGCACTTAACAGTTTGGCAATTGCTGGTGAATACTGTCTAGTTCTTGCTTACACTCAATTAAAGAAAGTCCTCCAAACTCTACACTCACGGGAAACGGCTCCACTGCGGAAACCTCTCTAAGAATCCTCCATAGCAGGAGTTTCACTACTGTTTTTTAGCTTCACATTTGCCATGCTGGAGGGTTTGCTTCTTTCCTCATTATTTTCCATCAGTACAAAAAAACATCTTTCAAAAATAATAAATTTCCCTTATTTTGCTATTAAGCTATTCTGGTTTGGAGATTTTTTTGTTTGCTTTGGGGTTTTTTGGGGGGGCAGTGGGGGGTAGAATGGAGGCTTTTGAAAAATAATATGCATTTCTGGAAGCCTCTAGCATGGCATGCCACAAAGCCTCTCTGCCACCTGAAACCATTAAACTTTTTAGCTGCTCCTTTTAATGAGCTCTCATTTTTAAAAAAAAAAAAAAAAAAAAAAAAAAAAAACCCCTTTTTTTATTTTTACGTGCCCCTTTTAAATGGCTTTTATTTTTAAAAAAAAAAAAAAAAAAAAAAAAAAAAAAATCCCTTTCTTGCTATCAAATCTTACCATAGCAAACTTTATTTCGACTTACATTCCTGCAAGGATGATGAACCTGAATATATTATGGCCACAATTACAGAACAGTTGTCTGACAACTGTCTTTTTAACTAGCCCCTACATACTACTGAGGACCAAGTAAAGAGCTGATTTTATTGGTTCTTTGATTTGTTTCTCTAGGAAGCAAGCATTTATAGTTTTAACTTTTTCTGTCTTTGTAATGCCATCCTGTGCCTTTTACCGAATCTCTGAAGGGTAACTAAAACCTCCATTAACACTATTTCTGTCCTCAGAGCCTCTCTGATCTCCCTTAACATCCCATCTGACCACTTTTATTATTGTGGTCAGATGATACCTGGCACAGTTTCTACACTATATACTTCCCATTTACACGTGGCTTGGCAATCCATAAAGGATTCTGCTGTACTTACTGACACAATTAATCTAGAGAAATATTAAAGACACGTAACAGAAAGCCATTCTACCAGTAATGCAACTTAGCTCTCAACTCTGTATAATTTGTGCCTTGGTGTCACAGTGTCCCAACAAGTTTCTGAGTTGCCCATTATATCAATGTCCTCATTTAAAGCCAGATAGTCCAAGTTGCCCAGATTTAGATTTACAGCTTTTGTACTTTGGCTTGACTGACTGTTGTCACAGGCACAAATCTAACAGGGCTTTATTTCTCAAAACTGCTCTTTACTTTTTCAGATGCAAACTTTCATGGTTTCTGTGCTAGTCCTCGCTCTCTGCCCTGATAGGGAGCTCTGACTTCGCGCTACGTGCTCTCAAGAACTTGCTCGTCTCCCCCCAGACGTTTAGTTTAAAATAATTCAGAAGATCTCAGTGCCATCCACATAGATCTAGTTTGGTTCAGACTGAAGCCATCCTTCTTCCTGCGTAAGTTCTACCTAGTCATAGAGCTCCCACAGTTTCTAATCTAATCCTACAATTGTTTTCCTCATTCACACGCTAGGACTATGGGTGTATCTACTGAGACTATCTTAATTTGTTGTGGGGTTTCTTTTCCAGTAGCATCAACAGCCACTATTATCTCACCCTGACTGAAGACTACTCTAGAAGCTCTCATTTCAGAGACAGCGGGCACCCTCCAGAGAGCCTGTGTATTTGTGTACACTTCTTGGTCTTTGTTCTTTATTCTAGCAATCAGGTCTCAAATTTTTAGAGGAAGGAACTTTTACTTTTCTGGCTCTTGAAGAAATAATATTTAAACTTGGATAGAGAAAAAACATTCATTCAGAGCAAAGGAGATTATACTTTTACTATGATTTCATCAGCCTTTTCATACTTTATGAAAAAGAAACTAATTCATCTTCTAGGACGTTCCATAGGAAGATACTGAGGTATCAAAATCTATTCATCTCAGACCTCCTTTTTTCTCCACTTTTTTTTTTTTAGGAGCCTATTGTAAACTTCACTATTGTTTGAAATATTTTGACATTTCCACTGTACCATCTTTTTCTGCCAGACTGAGCAACAACCAACTTCTCAATTCAGAAAGTGTAAAACTTCATTAGATTACTTTTCCTGTTCAGATATGCTCAAAGATTTACAGGAAGAGCAATTAATTGTTAGTTCATTTGAATATTCACCCATTCTTTTCAAGGTCCCAATTTAACTTTGCCACAAAAGATGACAACCTAAGAAAATGAATCCTCGTAATTCTCTACCTGTTTTTTTAAATTCACATTAAGGCCTGTGACAAAGAAAGTAGGAAACTTTATTGTAAAGGTCAAGGTATCACCAGCTGTCTCCTTGCCTCCTCTGTCAGAAGTTACTGTGCCCTTAAAACAAATTCAGACAAAGAAAACACACAAATGTGTCAGCTGGTCTAGTTTAGAGCCTGGTAACTTAATTCAAGACACCCTTCCATCAGTCACTTAAGCTAAGAATAGTTTTGAAGTAGACTGGCTGAGGTGTGCATATTAACCCTCTTCTGCCAACCCACCAGAGACCGAGCAACAGTTCCAGGCAGTAACATCCTACACCGTTGCCACAAGATCCACCTGAGCTTGTCTATCAAAGCCCTAAGTGTTTCTGAAATTTATTTTGTGTACTAATAACTCCTCAGTACACCAAAAATAAATTATGCCAGATAAGCTCAAATGTGTTTTATTGTCGTTATTCCCACTGAAAACACCTCACTAGAAGTGCGAGAGCAAAGCATAGTCTGCGAGATTGCAGATCTCCGGTTAAATAATTAGATACCAAAAAAATCTTTTTTTTAATTTTTATAAAAAAAAATACACTTGCCTCTTGTTTAGTTACTTTTGCTGCATCCTTGCCTTCAGCACCCTCTGGAGACTGAAAGAAAATATTAAGTCAGTGTTTTTATTACAGACTTAAAAGCATCCAGGCAACAGCAAAACAAAGATTATGGTGAAGATTCTTCTTTCTATCCATTGCACCAACTTAAAGAAGCCTGGCAAATTTACATTAGTATTTACAAGCAGCATTGTACCAAAGCCATTCTAGATTTTCCAAGCAAGAACGCAAGGACTTATCATCACCAGGCACATACATACCATATCACACAGCATCCCTCAGTGGTCCCTCCAGCCAACTAACCAAAGCATCCGCAGGCTCCAGTCGGGAGCTCCATCTCATCACCAGCTGGTAGCACAACAGTATGAACTGGAAATCTGAGGTTTGCTCTACTAGGACTTCTGAAATCCCCGAGAAATTTAACACATTTCCTCCTGAATATGAACGTAACAGGTAATAAGATGAACCAAAAAAGCACAGCATTACTGAAACGAGGGATTTCTTTACCTCATTTACTTTTTGCACCTCAGGCTCACTCCGCTGAAGCTGTAACAGTATCTTTCCCTCATCTCATCTCCTCTGTCAGAGCAGCAAAAAATCAGTAAAACACCAAGACACTGACAGGAAAGCTAGGGACAAACCTGTTCCTTCACAAGAACGAAGTATCAACCTGACCATTCTAATGCTGGTCTTCCAGAGGTACTACAGAAATGCTACTTGAAACACAGGGGAGGGGTGGGGGAGGGCGGGGGGCAGATAAATAAAATCAAGCTTCTGTCTTTTCTCTACAAGTCAAGATGTATTACTTCACATTTTGCAAGTGACTGAGTTTCCACCTAGGAACAAGATATTAATGGAAAAACAGCGAGCAGCAGCAGTTAGAGGAGAACTACAAGAACAGCATGTGTTTCAAAAAGGCATTTAATAGCCAGCAGAAAAGGCAATTTGGTTGCTGTTTTGTTTTTCAATCAGTAAAGGAGCAGGCCAGTTATCTTTTCCTTTGTCTTTCCATTCCAATCCTAACCCAAACCTCCCCCCCTGATTTTGACAGCGAACGTCTCGGAGTTACAGTTATGGTTTGGAGCAGAGAAAAAGACCAGCTAGTTTGCTGCAGTTGACCACTGCCTTCTCCTGGCACTGGGCTCTAACATACTTAGAGAAAGACACCCCCCACCAGAGAATAAAACGTGGCTTTGTTCCTGTGCGCTCTCCTGACAGAAAGGAAGCGTGCCACAAAAGCAGCTGGTTTAAAAAAAGCCGAGGACCGATCATCTAAGTAGCTAGAAAACAGCAGGAAGTTAAGCAGCACCGCGCAGCACAGAGCAACTCAGAATAGCAACAGAGTCAGGCATCCAAAATGGAGCCTGAGTGTTCCCTACCGCTGCCTCACCAGCCGCCGGCAGGATCGCTTCAGGTTGGCATTCCTACAAGCCTCTCGGTTTGGTTACTGAGGAGTTGCTACAGCTTGATGGTGTGATGCTGGGAGCATCAAAAGCCATAAGGAAAACAAAACCAAGTCATTCCACGATCATTGTCAGTAACAGTCTTGTTTCCTACAAGTTCCCTCTTCAGCTCATGACACAGTACGGGCTCTGGGTGTAGCTTTTCTGTAGTCCATGAATTCGTAACATCTGTTTCTCCTATATGAATCTTCTCAAGTCTAACAAACTTGCACTGCACCCTTTCCCTGGCAGGGAACTCGAATAGCCCCCTTCCTGTCCTGGGCATCTCTTTGGATGGAAGTTCTCTCAGATTTTATTATCTTCTACTCACAGTGGTCAAGAGACTCAAGATTTACAGGGGTAAGGACAGAAAGACAGCACGATTCACTTCCTTTGGAAGCCAGGCTAAAAAACGCACCATAAACTAAATGAAGCTGACTGACACGCCATAGTTGGGCTGTGTTACCCCGCTTCACTTTTAGGAACCACAGAGCTTGGAAACAGGGCTAAATCATCACAAGATGGCACTGGCCCGTGCCAACAGCCTTCCAGTAACTGCCTGGGAGCAAACCCTCACTCTGCACTCCCACACAGTTAACACACAGTAATTTACCCCATTCTCTTTAGCACTAATGAAAGACAAGTCTCCTGCATTTCTGATAGGCAGGGCAGCCTGATTTTAGACGCCAATATTATTGCTTGACCACAGATTTTAAAAACTGTTCATGAGGCTAACCGCAGGGGGAAAAAGAATTATATTAACATACTCTTAATACAACCACTGTATACTACTATGATATATTACACAACATACTTCAATTAAGTCAGCTAATTAGCCCAGCATTCCCTCTCAAGTTAGGAAATCGAACAGCAATTCTGAAAACCACGTAACTTTCTCCGTGGAGGGACATGCACAGCATTAATCTCAGAGGTGTGAATAAGCAGCAAGGGGTTCCGACACGCTCTCATTTCCATTTCAGCCCTGCTCCCTCCCCTCTGCAATCCCTACAAGTCCAGGCATTCGGAGGCTGCGCTCACCCTCCCAGGGCCTCGGCTCTCCAGCATGCTGGCAGAGCTGCGTGGGAGGCCATGTCACGAAGAAAGTAATTGATCCAGCTGAAAAATAGCCTGCTGCTTAAACAAATTTATAACTATTATAAATACATATACAAATAGTAACTATATAGTCTTCCCTGCTCCAGCAGAATCATTTTACCGCACAGCTGCACAAACAATTGAGCCAGTACAACAGAGAAGAATGAAGTGGCACAGGGCAGCTGCAAGCAGCCTGGGATCCTTAAAGCCGACAGACACACCAAAAAAAATGTCTGTCAGATATGGCTGCAGTATATTTGTTAAAAGGGGAACAGAAACTTATTTCTCCCCCTGCGAGTCCTGCTTAGATGTTCCAGTGAGCCCCAGCGAATGTGGATCTTCATGCTAGTTTTTGCAGTGCTTTCTCCTCTCCCTGGGGACCAGAGAGATTTGTACACGAACGGAGCTGAGCCAAGCATAGTTCCCAAAGAACTTGGCATGCCACAAGCAGTGACCGTCTGCACTAGCATCTGGACATCACAGGACTTTTATGCAGATACCACCAAAACCTTGAAGTCCCTATCCCTAAGTCTTCCACAGGAACCCTTCCCCAACCTTTTGTCCTGGTGACAAACTACTGAAGGACCTCTGGTTTCAAAGCAACCAAACGTACTAAGTAACCCATCCCCTTGGTATGTTTTTCCACATGACATGATGCTATGGTTCACCATATTTCACCTGACACCCCAGTCACATTAAAATGCACCCTGGAAACGGTGCCTTACATCGTAAACTAGTCAGGAGCGGGAGTGTCCACACTGCAAGTTTTGTGCAGCAAAATCAAAGACCAATGCAAGCACTGAATCACTTGAATTACTGAGGTTGGAGTACTGCCCCTGTCTTCAGCTCTACTCCATCATATGCCTCTATTATACTCATAAAGTAGTCCCTATAGGCATCCATACAGTATCAGGCACAGCAGGCCTACAAGGGATAAGGCAGATAAAATAAAAAAGCAGATAAGGGCACAGATAATAGTGATCACTTTTTTCCCCAATCATAGAGGTACACAGAAGGAAAGAAGCTGACTGGCTAACTCTAAATATGCTTTTGACATTTAAACTCACAGCAAGTTTTAGGTTCAGATGACCACACATTGTGTCACACCCCAATTAGTACTACATATTGGAAATAAGATTGTAAATTAAGTTGTAGCTAAGATTTATAAGACCTGTCAGAGCTGCATAACTTTTATATCACAGGATTAACCCAGAAGGTTGCATGCAAGATTCCCTGTGTCTATGAGCAATCAGTTGGGTTTTTTTTATTTGCTTTTTCCCCACCCCTTTTTAAGGACAATCTAGAAAATAATTT